GCCACAGACTGTTACATCGTGCATGAGATCTACAACGGGGAGAACGCACAAGATCAGTTTGAGTATGAGCTGGAGCAGGCTCTGGAAGCCCAGTACAAGTACATCGTGATCGAGCCCACCCGCATTGGTGATGAGACCGCTCGCTGGATCACCGTGGGCAACTGTCTGCACAAGACCACCGTGCTGGCGGGCACTGCCTGCCTCTTCACCCCACTGGCACTGCCCTTAGATTACTCCCATTACATCTCCCTGCCCGCTGGCGTGTTGAGCCTGGCCTGCTGCACCCTCTATGGAATCTCCTGGCAGTTTGACCCTTGCTGCAAGTACCAAGTGGAGTACGATGCCTATAAACTGTCCCGCCTGCCCCTGCACACACTCACTTCCTCCACCCCCGTGGTGCTGGTCCGGAAGGACGACTTGCACAGAAAGAGACTGCACAACACGATAGCGCTCGCCGCCCTGGTGTACTGTGTAAAGAAGGTTTACGAGCTCTACGCCGTATGATCTCCGTCGAGTAGGGAGAGGAGCAGACAGCCCAGCCCACGGGAGACAACAGTGTTCATATCACACAGGAACATTTTTTTGCTCCATGAGTCAACGGAGCCCGGGAAGGTGTTTGGTTTAATAGTTGTTATTTTTAAAAAATAGCACAGATCACAAATGAACCAAGGGTTTTTTCAACTCGTCACACTAAGATGTGGGTTTCCGTAACCCACAGGGAGTCAAGCTGTGGAAGCTGACTGGGCAGTGGGATGGTGGTGGAAGCTGGGGGGTGACTGTGCTTGGGGTGGGTCCTGAAGTTATTGTTAACTGTACCTTCCAGAGCCAACCAGAAGCGATTGACCATTAAAATCATGAGAATTTCAGCTCCAGGTGTCTTTTCTTTCCATGACTGTGCTGCAGTTTGCCCCTGGACAGCACCAGAGGCTGCCCAGCACCTGGCTGCACCCGTGTCCCATGTGCAGCAGGAACAGGTAGGTCTTGAACGGGGCAGGCTCAGACCCCATCCAGAGCATCTCATGTCTCACCTTGGTCCTGTTTCCAAGGCCAGCACTGCTAACTGATGTTCAGGGACGTGGTAGGATAGGGTGATAAGGCCTAGAGGTTACTGGGTCTCTAGGTTCATGTGGAGAACAGGGGCCTGTGACCTCTTGTCTAGAACCTGATTTAGGAGTGACACAGAAACTAGTGTCTGCACGTGTTTAAATCACTGAGGCTGCCCCTGTTGGTGTTCCCTGAGTCCAACCCATGGCCTAGGCGGAGGGAGAGGCCCTCCCGCCTCTGTAGCATCCTCCGCTGCCCGCCTGGTGCCCCTATAACACAGGCGCCGGGCGCTGTGCTCCTCCCCCACACCAAAAGGCCTATGATGCTTCATCCATATTCCCTCTAAGGCTTTGCATAAATGGAAAATTATTTCCTCCACAAAGGAGCTGAGCCCCTGTCTGAACGGCAACTTTACTGAGATCTGCTTAGCCATCCTTGAGGGGCTACACAGCACTTCCTTCTGAAGGCCCATCCTTCAGAGGCAACCTCTCTGGTTTTTACCTACTTTTAAAGGGTCCATCTGGAAGGTCATACCAGAGAGTAATGACAGGATGCATAAGAAGGCATCGAGGAGCTGACAGCCCTTTTTTTTGTAGGGGAAAATCCAGAGCTTAAAAGATTTCAAAAGGAACCCATGGTGGGCGAAGCAGTTGAGCTCTTGCTCCTGAGTATTGTCTGATTCAGATAAACTCATAAAAATTTTAAAAAAGGGACCCATGGCCCACCAAGCTTGAGAAACTCATTTAATCCTAAGGGCCCTAGAGATACTAATTACTCAGTTGAGTGCTAGGAGCCAAAATGGTGTTGGGTAAACACTACAGTTTGCGTGGTGGTCTGGCCATCTAAACAGTGGTGAGTTGGTAGTGATCCCAGACAGACAGGCCTTGTCTGGACTGTGCAATGCCCAGAACTCGGCTGACTGCTGGCTCTGGGGCCTGCAAGGTTGGAGTGATAGGTCCTCCTGTAACAGCCCAGATTTGGACAGGGAACCCCATCCCCTGCCTGCAAGTCAGGTTTCATGGGGGAGGCTGCTAAAAGCAGACAAGCAGTGGCCATCTCAGGTCAGCTGAGCAGAAGCCCTCACCAGAAATAGAATCCAGGTGCACTGAACAGTGATTTTTGTTGGGTGGACTAGCCCTGATTCTGAAATGCCACTTAATCTGCCACTCAATCACATGTCCCATGCCAGAGGTGAGGACGTGGTGTGGGCTGTGGGCAGGGGCTGTGTCCAGAACTCTAGTTGAGTGGTGTCCCAATTGGCAAGGAGTCACAGAGCCACACCTCTGGTGTCTGGGTGCCCTACCTTTCTGTCACCTTCATAGACGTCGCTGGTGGGTGTAGTGCCACATGTGTAACATGCCACAATGCCCTTGAAGGGACATTAAACATCTGCCAACTGGGAAAGCAAGGCCAGGTTAGCTGGGACCCTCCTCTGCCAAGTCCATGTACGTGAGTTCTGTGTGTAGTTCTAGTGAATGAATCACGTAGTTGACCTAGTACCTGAGTCATGTTTTAACTGCCTGCCTCGCTCCAATTTCAGGGAAGAGCAAAGCCTTCATAAAGGCCAACTCATCAAGAAGTGTGGAGGAGCAGAGCTGGCAAACTTACTGTGTGTCTCCTTGTTACAGTCGACCAGCTCCCTGAAGAGTAGTGCTCACATCTGGTTCAGCAGCTCTCAGTCCCCGAGGAGAAGGGAAGCTCTTCCCTCACTGCCTGCTGGGAAGCAGGTGGTGTGCCCAGGTGGCTGTGTGCTCAGTACACCTCACCACACACGAGCTGTGGTCGCTCAGTGGTGCACCAACGGGCAGTGCTGCTGTCTGGGAAACGGTGTTTCTCAGACTCTTGAGTTTGGCCCAAAGCACAGGACGCTTGCTTCTGCCCTTGGACCAGTGAAACACCAGGAAAGTAGAGTGGAAAGTGCCTTTGAACTTTATCTGAAGGCAGAACTAAGAATTGTGCTTTTCAAACCTACCCAGCAGAACTCAAGGGTAAAAGGTGGGAGAGCAGCCTTCCAGGACAGAAGAGAAACTGAAAACTACTGCCCTGGTGGCAGACGCTCATATTCAGAAGCAGGTTTGAGACTAAGAGCCAGAGGCAGTCCTGGCCCAGTTCCCATCTTAGGGGGGCTTTTGTGGGGGTGACTTGCCCTCAGGACTCCAGCAGGCTCAACAAGCCCCACCTTTACCCAAACAGTGCTCTCCAGGGAGGCGCATGTAACTCCAGGGGCACCCAGGATGGCTTTAGGGGCAGCAGAGCATCGAGAACCCCGTCTCTGGCCCTCTCTAGTCTCTTCCCAGCCTCAAGCCACCGACAGCATCTGTGGTGCGAGCACATCTGTAACACCTGTGGTATTGCAGCCTCCTCAAGAGCAGGGCCTCGGACGGAGCCTTTGGCAGGCAGTGGATCTAGCTAGATTTTATTGGTTCTGTTTGTGTTCTACTACCTATTTATACGGTAGAACACCAAGTTTCTAAAGTATACCTTAGAAAGTGAGTTTTTAAAAACTGTTAAGTAAACATTCAGTGGTATTTCAATATGACTCAACTGTCATATCTAGGTTGAGACCCTTTCTGTCCCAAGCTCTGTTCCCAGCCCACACCTGAGTCAGGCCACTGCTCCAAAACCAACAGCCTCTGCGACACGTTGCTACAGGCCTGCAGACAAGCATGCACTTGCTACTCTTGCACCCCCTAGAGGCAGTGCCCCGTATCAGCCTCCACCGCTGGTCTTTTATTTAATGGCGAGAAAAGGACAGCACCTGGGCCCTTTTGAAAGTACTAGCAAACAAGTGTCCATGGAGAGAGGATCTCTCATTCCCACTTACAGAGACAGCTTGCTCATCACTGCCTTGCTGAGGAGCTGCTGTGCCATGGCCATTTTATTTTACCTCAGACTCCGGCCAGGCTTTAGCGTGGCTGCCACTGCTGTTTCAGGCCAGCTCTTCCCTGACATGAACACTAAGGAAGGAGCCCTCTCCTCCATGTTTGGAGGGAGGCAGATGGTCTCTGAGGTGTGAGAACCACGCATGACGCCTATATCCACATCTCAACCAGGCTCCTGGAATGTTGGGGCTGTGCTGGGAGCTGGGATAGGTCGGCAGGTCTAATCCACTCCTCACCCTCCTACTTTCAGGAAACTTGAGAGCCTTGAACGCCCAAACCACAGGCTGGCTTTGGCCATTTTCATGTGGGGAGTAGCTGTTTAAAATATAAGCTCCATAGGTCCACGATCAGGACGTAGTGTAAGATAACAGTATAATATGCTAGGAGATTTTTATTCCAAGTTGGGGAAGCCTATACAATGGACCCACAACTTCCACTGTCAGCTTCAATAATGGGAAAAGTTTCCTTCTAAACTTGAGGTATGAAGCTGACTTACTTAATGGGCCTCAACCATGTATTTTTAATAAGTCAGAAAAGTAGACACAGGCATCCTTTCTGGCTAGTCTCCAACTGTCACAGCTAACAGATGCGCTGCTCCCACCAAGACTCCTCCCCACCTGACCGGTTTGAGCCTTACACCAGAGGATACATGGGACCATGTGGGATTTTCCTTTCCCCACTGGCTGCTGTCTCCTTAGTAAACTCATTTCCTGCTTGGAGTTGTGCCTGGTCCTCCAGGGCTTTGGAGGGAGTCAGCAGGGAAACTGGGGAATTCCTTTTTGGTACTAAAGCCAGTGTCACTTGGGATATGTCAGTGGTGGATCATGTGAGCTCATTTGCTGTGCTGAATGAGACAGTGTAGGGCCCTGGGAGTGCACGTGAATACCGACATCTTAAACTGCAGGCTCCTCCCTCTACTACTGGAAGTGGACTCTGCCAAAACAGTTAGGCACGTGGCTTTGGGTAAGTCAAATGCGAAAACAAGATCAAGGTGATGCCAGGATGTCTTTTGACTTCGAGATGGAAGCCCTTTCTGGGAGCTGGCGGAGGCCGGAATTCAGAGGAGGCAGGTTATTCTAGTCCTTGAGGACTATGGCTCCTACTGTCCATTCATTTATTTCATATTCTTAGCACTAAACCCAGCTCCACATTTACTCCCATGGGTCGCCCCTCGCAGCTGGGAAGACGCCTGTGTCCCTTTGCATTTCCCATTGTCTCCCAGCAGGGGCCCACCAGGGAGAAGTGCATCTCCACCTTTCCACCTGTGAGACAAATATCAGTAATACCCAGTTCTGCGGTGGCACTAGGAGTTCTTGGATTTCTGCTCTTTTCTGGCTCGGGAGGCCATGAGTCTGAAGAAGAGCCCGGGAGCCAGAGTTCGCAGATAAATGGCCAAGGAAGGCAACAGGTCGGCCAGGATCACCTCTTTCTTTTTCTTCCCCACAGCAGCCAGAACATCTTGGGCCACTTCCACTGGCATTCGGCCCTGGGCTGTGGTCTTGTCCATAACTAAAATAAACAAAAGCAGCACATGAACTTGGGAGCAGAAGTTAATCTCTCAAGTTGAGCTGACGTGGACTGTGGTCCAGTCAGCTTGCCAGATTTCCCATCATGCAGCTCCACCCAGCCTGCCAGGAGGCAGGTGGCACACCACCATCCCTAACTCTCCCATGCTTCAGTAAATGAGGACCCGCCTATGGCTCAGTTTGTGAGCTGGGGTAAAAAATGTGTGGGTGGGACATGGGAACAGGTAGGTGGGGCCCAGTAGGTGCTCAGGGCTGGTCTACAAGAACGGACAAAGGCCAACCACAGTTGAGAAGGAGCTCCCTCTCCTTAAGAATTTTTGCCTTTTGAAACAACCAGTGACTAAGAAGTTGAGTCATCACATTCAACTCAGGGCCTAGGGTGAGGCCTGCCGGACAGGGTGGAAGACTGTGACGCCATATGCACTACAAGCTCACTAAAGTGAAAGCCAAGAAGGGAGTCAGGAGAGACGTCACAGTCCGTGCCATGTGTTAACTGGATACGCAGCAGGAAGAAATCCTTGGTTTGTTTTGGGTGTTAGAGACAGCCGTGGGAGGGCAGGAGGTGCTAGGCTGGTTAACAGGAGCTGGTGTTCCTCCTTCCCCAGTAATCTGACAATTTTGCCAACAAAGCAGGGCTAGTTGGCAGGCACAGAGAAGGCACAGAGAGGCTACTACCTCAGACCACTAGAAACCAAGCTGTCTGAACTTCCCACGAGCATTTGTTCTCATTGTGTTTTTGTTAATACACAAGAATAGGAGGTTTCTGATTGTTATTTTTATTTTCAATAAAATAATAAAAAATCAATTTTCCATTGATTTTAGATGGAGTGGGAGGGAGAGAGGGAGGGTGGAGAGAGAGAGAGAGAGAGAAACATCGATGTGCGAGAGACACCATCAACTGGTTGCCTCCTGCATGTACCCCAACTGGAGTTGGGGATCAAGCCTGCAACCCAGGTACATGTCTTTGACCAGGAATTGAACCAATGCACAAGCCAACGCTCTAACCATTGAGCACACTGGCCAGGGCTGATTGTTGCTTATTTTTAAATGCCCAGAGGGAGTTTTTAAAAAAGATTATTCTAAATATAAATAATATAAATACGGATCTCTCCAGTCTGTGCCTCTGTCTGTTTTCTATTAACATGCCTCATGGGTGAAGGGAGAGAGCAGCTGCCACCCTGGGCATGGGAGTCTTGGCTCAGTCTGGCTGGGGTAAGGTGCACGACCAGGAGGCCCCTGGTGAATTCCAGGGCATAGGCCCAAGATATCACATCCAAGGAGGCTGCACATGGACAGTACTCAAGTGGTAAGCAGGCCCTATTCAAGCTTGGAGAAGCAAAGTTGGTTTCCACAGCAATAGCATCCATGGGTCAACCTACCTGAGGCAAAAACCAACCGGTCTCTGCTTGGCCTGAACCTGCATCCTGGGGCCAGGCAGCTGGGCCCACTAGCAGCGACTGCAGCTCAGCTCAGCTCTCTGGCTGAAGCCATAGGGCAACTCTGAGGGTGGCGCCCCCAGCCTCACCCTGGAGACTGGGCTCATTGCTCTGAATGCACTGAAATCGGTTGCTTCTCAAGCACAGTGAGTAGTAACCTCCGGGGTCAAGCAACCCATAGTTTGCTCGAGGTTTATCCCCTTTAGCTTCTCTTTAATTCACTGAGAACGGGTTCACTGGGAGTCTGGTGGCATTTCAGCCGGGAGACTTCCTTTCCAGCCCTCAAAGGCCTGTTCCGATAGCCGCAATGGGGTGGTTCATGGTAAGTGAAGATTATTCGGTAGCATATACAACAAACACCCATATATGTTTTCTTTCTTTTTTTTTTCTTTTAAATCCTCACATGAGGATATTTTTTCCATTGCCCTTCAGAAAGGGTGGAAGGGAGTAAGAATGAGAGAGAGAGAGATGTGGGAAACACCAATGAGAGAGAGACACATTGGTAGCCTCCCGCACGCACCCCGACCAGGGCCGGGAATAGAGCCTGCAATCGAAGTATGGCCCCTGGCCGAAATTGAACCCAGGACACTTTAGTCTGAGGGCCGATGATCTAACCACTGAGCAACCAGCCAGGGCAGTATTTTCATTTTAAAAATTATATTCAAATGAATGAGCAAACAATCATCAGATAAGAGCAGAGTATCTCACTGTGGCCAACCAACAGCTTTTTATAAAAGAGAAGATAAACCAGGCCTCACCTCCATATCTGGAGCCGTCAGCAGTCATGGCATTTAGGGAGAGGTTGGTATGGATGTAGCCAGGGCTGATTACGGTCACCTCGATCTCATACTGTTCCATCTCAGCACGCAGACAGTCAAAGAATGCCTGGGTTGCGTGTTTGGAGGCTGCGTCTGCAAAGGTTGGTGAGTGAGCTGGTGTGGAACATGGCTGGGGTAAGACTACATCCACAGGCAGCAAGTGAGCTGGGGTGGGACATGGCTGGGGTAAGACCACATACTCATTCCACTCGTCCTCTCTCTTTTAACTAGAAAACTAGTTTTATAATTAAAGATGATAAAATTACAGTATTAGAGCAATGTTCATCTCTTTATTTAGAGAAGTACATTGTAACCTTGTTTTTAGAGTTTGTATCCTGAAGTATTTCGGAAGAAAGGAGCAACATGTCTCCAACTTTCTTCAAATGGTTCAGGAAAGAAAAATTGTAAATTTCATATACATGTACATGTGCATATGCAGACGCACCAATAGAACATGATAAAGCAAATGTTGTAAAATGTGAGCAGCTGGGGAATCTGCATGCAGGGACAATGGGAGCTCTTTACACTTGTCCCTGCAACTTTTCTTTAAATCAGAAATTATTCCACTTTAAAAGAAAAAAACTACAAAACAAACAAACAAAACAACAACATCAGCATCTTAATACCTAACGGGTAAAATATTCAACTAGTATGGAAGCTATAGAGTAAAAAGTACACGACCTTCTGCCTCCCAGTTCCACTCTCCAGAGGGAACCGACACTAATGGTCTCTCAGGACCTATTTGTATATATCCTACATGCACATTTGTGACTTTACATATAAGTATTTTTTTTTTACAGAAATGAGCTCATACTGTTCATATTATTCCTGCAAGTACCTTTCTCCACCTGGTAACAACAGACTGGAAAGCCTCCGTGCCAGCCACGCAGCCCTCAGTGAGTCACCCGATGCGGGACTGGCCCATCAGTGGGCCTTCAGAGGCAATTTCGGGCTTTGTGACTGAAGCTGTGCCACTAGTGAGCATCTCTGCATGCATGGGTGTGTGCGTGAAATCTGAGGCTGGCTCTCTTAAGTATTTTATTTGACAAACTTCCATGCAGTGGCTTTGCATCAGGAAGAGCTATGGAGCTGGCTCCACCTCCAAGAAACGAAGCCGCCTCTGCTCTTCAGGGATGACTCCACCCAGCAGGCAAGGTACCCGGAAGGCACAGCGACCCTACCATGACGCTCTTGGGAAACACACAGCACCTCCGCTGAAAATCAGTTTCCTCCCACTTAGACTTCTGTTTTAGCCTTAGGAAGGGGGACCATCAGCCAATGAAGCAGGAAGGGGAACCCAGGACGTGCCCCAGCAAGTGCCATGAGAAACAGGTGCCTGAACTGGCTGCAGGGCCTTCTGGGCAGCTTCTTGGTTTAGGCCAAGCTGCTGGGCTGGGTGAGCAGTCTGGGGGGGTGAGGGGTGGACAGAACCACTCCTGTCAGCCCTGATTCTGGGAGAGCTGCCCAGGCCCAAGGACTGAGCAGAGTGAATCATCCTGGGGGTCCCCAGAATAGAAGGCTGCACCCTGACAATGAGCCTCCCAGAGCTCTCAGGCTATAGGTCTTCAGCCAGGCTGTGCTGACCAGTCATCCTCCTGGGTGTTGCAGTCTCAGCCCCTGCTGCCCACAAGGCACAGTGCTCAGCACGCCGCCTGCATCATCTCACCCGGTCCTCATGCCAGCTGTGAGGGAGACAAAGCTGTTCTCCCATTTCCTAGATGAGGAGACGCTGCTCGTCAGGGTTCACTGACCTGCCCAGGAGGACACCACATCAGTCTGGTCATCATAAAGTGCCCAGACCAACCATGTGGGACCTGCTTTAGTCACAGGCCAAGTGGAGAACAAAACTCCGATAAAATCAAAGTTTGGAAATAATTTGGTGCCAAGAACATGGCATATCCTTTATTCTGACATAGCTACTATTAATAGTTTACCTCACTGGCTTTATCATTTGTGACTTTACATATATATTTATTCCTGAACCATTTGAGCAGCCTTAGATGGCTGTCTTAGGCTATTGGGAGTTAAAAGAAAGTAACAACCACAGAGACAAATATGGATATAGTGCTTCACAACTTACAAAGCACTTTTCATCCCCACTTCCTCGCCCCTTATACACAGCTTTGTGAGGCAGGTAAGATGATTGTAAGTCTCATTTTATACGGAAGCAAATGAGGGGTCAAACAAGTTAAACAACTTGCCTGAGGACATACAACTAGAACCAAAAGGCAGAGCTGGGTGCGGAAGGACAGGGTAAGTTTCTGTTCTGTTTCCAGTTCAGACAGGTGGCTCCCCGTCAGCAGCCGGACGTCTGCTCCTGCCCTGCAGGTGCTGAGGCAGCTCTGCTCCCCCCACTTCTCGCCAGCCAGCTGGGTGGGGCTCAGTCTGGCACTTGGAGGTGGTGAGAGCAGGCGAGTCGGTTATAAGTATTTACTTACAGAGGGTGGAGCAAAGAAAGCAGTTTGTGAAACTATCTTCGAAACCTTTTAACTTAAGCAAACTAGATTCTGTTTGCTTGCTGGTGCTACAGGATGGCAGATGAATGAATGAAATGATATCTCAAAATTTTGGCACAGCCAGTCGCATACATGGAGGTGAGAATATGAACTGGAAGTCCATTTCGCAGTTTTAATTATTTGGCCCTACCTATTTCCACTTCTGGGAATTCATCTTACTGAAACCCTCCCGGTGAGTGTCTAGAGATATAAATATTTTAAGGGTGTTCTAGGTAGTGGATCACTGTTAATGGTTAAAGACTGAAGGGAAAAATATCAAGTGTGCAGGAAAATGGCTGAATAAATTACGCCATATATCCATTCAATGAATTACTATATATCCACTTAACAGGATTAGGTAAATCCATATACACTAAACGGAGAAAGATGCGCTGTCAAGTGAAATACGCCACAAAACAGCATCACCACGAGGCTCCGTTTCGTATGTCTGACCCCATGCACGATGAGTCCGAGGCACATGCCGAAAGGGACAGAAGTGGCAGCGCCCGCGGGACACCGGGCTGGGCGACTGCAACGAGCCCAAGCTTGGGCTCACAGGCACACTCGGCGTGCCGTGCAGCGGTGCACAGACGAGCCCGCCTTCCTCGTGGCCATCCCAGGGGGGCACGTCTCCGCCGTGCAGATGAGGACAGGGCAGGTGCGGGGACCACGCACAAGGTCAGAGGGGTGAGGAGCACAGATGGGATTTGAGCCCAGACAGTCCGCTCCGGAGAACCCCTCTGATGACGCTCCTTCACATTCTGTATTGAGTGTTTCTCTAATGTCTGAATTCTGGATAGAAAATGAAGTATTTCTATAATCAGGAAAGAAAACAAAAAGAAAACCACCTGGAGGAGGGAGAGGGAAGTACTCACATGCTGATCGGAAAGGAATGCTGATCTTGCCCTGGATGCTGCTGATGGCGACAATGTGTCCCTGTCGCCTTTGGATCATGGAGGGCAGGAGCGCTAAGGAGAGAGGTCAGAGACTTTAGAAGGCGACTTTCCTTCTGGTCACCGAACCTAATGCCAATGAAGTCACTTACTAGACTTCATTGGAACAAGGGAGGTGAACGGTGAAAGCCCCTCAGTGGGGAGGACCATGTTTTGTTGGGACTTTTAGGCCTCCCGCACCTAGCGGTCTTCCAGTGGCCAGCGGGGTGGGGGGTGGGAGGGCGAGCATGGCAGACAGAGCCTGATAACCAACAGCCAGCTCAGTTCCTCTTCCCAGGGAGTGAAATCCGAGCCTGGATATATCTCCGCTAAGAGGAAATGGAGGCAATGCTGTACAAATGCACCTGTCACTGAGAACATCTTGATTTAAGGGGCTAAAAGCAGATAAAGAAAATGCAGATAAGAGTCCAGAAAAAGCAAGCACCCAAGCTGCAAACGACAGCATGTTTTCCAGGGCAGGTAGAGGAAGAGCACAGGCAACGTTTAACCAACAAGAAACCAAGTGGAGTGAAAAACCAACCAACATATCAGTGTTCTTTTTTCTTTAATCTAAAATGTTACCTTTTGTTAGAGCTACTGGACCGAAGTAGTTGGTCTCCATGACTCTCTTGTCCACATCTGGGGTGGTGTCCAGGATGGCGCCACGATAGCTGATCCCAGCATTGTTGATAAGCACGTCGACGTAGCCAAAGCACTGCAGGATCTCTGCTGCGGCTGCAACAATGGCCCCAGGGTCTGCGAGGTCGAAGGTCACCATGTAAGGCTTGTGTGTCTGCACCTGGTCAGGTACGACAGAAACCACATGCACCTCAGAATGACAGGCCATGCGAGCCACGTGTCCCTGCTAACCAGAGTACTGGAGCAGCCCCTGGGCACGGCGTGGCACAGGCTACAGCACCTATCTTCGGAAGAGACGTGGCCCGGGGCATCCTGCCTATAGTGCTCACACCTGACCTGGGCAAATGTTCTCCTGAACTGAAAATTACTATTGGAGCCAGACAGCAAATTCCACAGGACAAGGATCACATGTGATAGAGGCTGTGGTGAGGTTACCACAGGAGCTGTACATTATAACTAATTAAACAGTGGCCCTGCTGAGAGGTGCTATCCTTCTCAGGTTAAGTCACTTTATTTGTTCATGAAACATTTTCAATACGTCCCCTATGTGCCAGACACTGAGGACAGAGCAGAAAGCAAGACAGAAGTGGTTCCTGTCTTCCTAAAGCAGTCTAGGGGGGACGGCAGACGCACTGGAGAGGTACACGTAGAAGTGTAAGAGGCCTTAGAGCTTCCCAAGTGAGTTTCACAAGACGTCAAGAATACGTGAAATCAAAGGAGATGGCAGAGTATAGGAAGTGCCAGGAACCCGACTCTACCTGGACAACGGGACTGACAGACTCTCTGAAGAGACTATGTAGGAGCTCTGGAATCTACAGGAGAGTGCTGGTCATTTTCAGCCAGAATTGGGGCTGTTCATCCCCAACCCACCCAGCCCTGGGGCAGGCAGCTGGGAAAGGCAACCAACATTTCTGGTGCAGCTTGAGGGAGCCAAGGTAGGCAATAAGACCTTGTCTTCCAAATACCTGGGTACTGTTCCGATGCTGGATTCCTGCTCTGATTGCCAAGGCACAGCATGGAGACAGGCGGCATTTTTTAACCACTATTGACTGAAGTGGCTTCCACTAGATTTAAAGAAGTCACCTGTCTTTCTTTCATATTAAAAAACATAAGTAGCCTGGCTGGTTAGAGTGTTGGCCTTCAGACTGAAGGGTCCCAGGTTCAATTCCGGCCAAGGGCATGTACCTCAGTTGCAGTCTCAGTCCCAGCCCTGGTTGGAGCACGTGCAGGAGGCAACCAATCAATGCGTCTCTGTCACATCAGTGTTTCTCTTTCTCTCTCTCTCTCCTCTCCCTTCCACTCTCTCTGAAAAACAATGGAAAAAATATCCTCAGGTGAGGATTAAAAAATATATATATATATATAAATCCCCAGAAAATATACCTGAAGAAGCCCAGATGGCTACTTACTAGACAGAAAATTTACGACGACTGTGTTAAAAACCCTCAAAGCACTAAAGGAAAATATGGACAAAGGTAGGAAATTGATGTATAAACAAGATGAAAATATCAATAAAGAAACAGAAATTATTTTTAAAATCCTGGAACTCAAAAGTACAGTAACTGACTTGAGCTAGTAGAAGAGAGAATCAGTGAATTTCTAAACAGGAAAACTGAAATTATCAAGTCTGAGAACAAAAAGAATATAAGAATAAAAAAATCTGAACATAGCATAAGGGATATGTAGGACACCACCAAGTGGACCAACATATGTGTTGTGGGAATCTGAGAAGGAAAAGAGAGAAAAGGGGGTAGCAAGAATTTTTGAAAAAGAAATTGCCGAAAAAAATTTAATGAAGGACATGAATCTGCACAGCCCAAAAGTTCAATAACAAGTAAGATAAACTCAGAGACTCACACTAAGACACATTACAATAAAACAAAGACAAAGAATTCTGAAAACAGCAAGACAGAAGCTACTCCTTACATAGAAAAGATCTTCTTAGCCCTGGCTGGTGTGGCTCAATTGGTTGGGCATCATCTCATGCACCCAAAGGTTCAGTTCCCAGTCAGGGCACATGCCCAGGTTGCAGGCTCTATCTCCAGTAGGGGGCGAGCAGGAAGTAGCAGATCAATGTTTCGCTCTCACATCGATGTTTCTCTCTCTTTCTCCCCCTTCTTCTACCTCTAAAAATCAATGAAAAAGAAAACCAGGAAAAAAAAAAAGATCTTCAAAAAGATTCTCCCCGACTTATTACAACCCTTGGAGGTCAGAAGACAGAGTATCAAAGTATTAAGAGAAAAAATATGTCAACCAAGATTCTATATTTGATACAACTATCTTTTAAAAATGAGAGAGGAATTAAGATCCATAGATTAAACAAATGCTGAAGGAGTTTGTTACCACTGGACCTGCCCTATAAGAAATACTAAAAGGAGCCCTCAGATTTGAAATGAAGGAAGCAAGAGAGTATCATTTAAAGCCATATGAAGAACGAAAGATCTCCAGTAAAGTAAATACCTGGACAATTTTAAAACCTATTATTATTTTTAAAAAAATATAAATAGAGAATCCAAGATGGTGGCAGATTGACACTTTCCCAGGACCAAACTGGAATTACAACTAAAATATAGAAAAAACATCCTGAATAATCATCTGAAGACTAGCTGGAGAGAATCCTCATAACCAAGGATATAAAGTGGGGACCGCAAAGAGCAGGGGTGGAGAACATCTGGCCCACGGGCTGTATATGGCCTGTGCAAAATCATTTGGTCTGGCCCTGCCAAGGCAACCACAGGAGTCAAAATTCAATAAATCTAGAAGCTTTTTTAATAGTTAATTTTTAAGTTGATAATTTTGTATGGCCTGTGAATGATGTTATAAATATCAAAATGGCCCTTGGCAGAAAAAAGGTTCCCCACCCCTGACATAGAGACTGGTAGGAAGTGTGGATGCAAGATGGCTGGCTGGGCTCCCACAGGCAACAGCTGAAGGTCCAGAGGGATGTATCAGCTGTGGGGGGTTCCCAGGCTGGGATCCCCAGCCCAGAGCACCAGAACTGAGAAAGGTGCCCACATAACATCTGGCTGTGAAAAGCAGCAGAGTTTCTGTCTGCCAGGGAGAGACAGCTGGAAATGCAGGCACCCTCCTAAAGGGCCAATGGACAAAGTTTTGTGTGCAGCCTCTCACCTTGTGCTCTGGTGGAGGGAGTGCAGAGTAGACTAGAGCTGTATGAGGAGAATCTACGGGGGCTGGCTCTGGGGATAGAGCTCGGAGGGTACCGTTCTGGGCTCTTGTGCTGAGTCATTCCCCCATACTGCAGAGGACATCTTTCTCAGGCAGATCTTTACAATCCAGGCAGCTTTTGCCTGGGGGTTGGGGGAGCATTTGCCTCACCAGCTGAAAACCTCTTGTCCCACCCTATGGAGTTTATACCTTGCTATGGTCTATAGCCTGAGGCTCCTTAAGAGACAGAGAATAACAATCCGCATGAAGGCAGAGGTGGTTCCTTGGGTGCTTTGAGTTTTTGCCTGATCTGCTTCTGGACCCTGGGCTTGGGAAAGCAAACCTTGGTGCACATCTTGGCCCTTTCCAAATGCACCCAGCTCCAGCATAGGGAGCCACTCATATGTGAAATCTAATGAACAAAATAAACCAATGAACAAAATAGATCCAGAGACATAGAAGCATGGACAGAATGACAAATCTCAGAGGGAAGGTGGGGGTGGGCGGGGAGAGATTAATCAAAGAACTTATATGCATATATGTATAACCCATGGGCACAGACAATAGTGTGGTGAAGGCCTGGAGGGAGGGTGGGTATAGGGTAGAGGGGATCAATGGGGAAAAAGAGGGAACATCTGTAACCCTTTCAACAATAAAGATAAATTAGGTAAATATACATATACTTTATATACAATACTTTATATTTTTATTATGTATACAATCTTTATATATAAAAGTGAGTATTATTGTAATTTTGGTTTGTAACTCTACCTTTTATTTTCTACAGAATTTAAAAAACAAATACATCTAAAAACGATTTTTAATCTATGTTATTGGATAAGCAATTAAATGTTTCACATACATAGGAGAAGGGGGAGGACAGAACTGTATAGGAGTAGAGTTTTTATAGACTATTCAAGTTAAGCTGGCCATGGATCCAAGATGGTGGCACAGTAGGTGAAAGCTACACTTACCTCCTCCGAGGGCCAAACTAGAATTACCAGTAAATTATAGAAAATCATCCTGAATAACCAACCAAAGACTACCTGAAGAGAAGTTTATAACCAAGGATTTGCAGAAGAAGCCACATCAAGACTGGTAGGAAGGGTGGAGACACAGAAAGGGCTGGCCAGGCTCCCATGGGCAGTGGCTGAGGTTCTGGAGGGATATCTCAGCTGGGGGATTCCCCCTGAGAAGTGTGGGCTCTCAACCCCAAGCTGGGCTCCCCAGCCCAGAGCACCAGAGCCAGGAAGAGGGACCCACATAACACCTGACTGTGAAAAGCAGCAGAGATTCTGTCCATCAGGGAGAAACAGAAGACTGCTAGAGACACAGGCACCCTCTAAAAGGGCCAATGTACAAAATTTTGTTTGTAGCCAGTCACCTTGAACTCTGGCAGAGGGAGGGAGGATTGGACTAAAGTCACATGAAGAGATCTGGGGTCTGTGGCCCTGGGGAGAGACCTGTGCTGAGTCCCTCTCCCATATCACAGTCACCATCTTCCTTGGGTGGAGCACTTTCCTCTGTGTGGCATCAGCCAGGGGGGAAGTAATAGCACCACCCTGTGGACTCTCTCTTGCCCCATCATGTGGAGCTTATGCCCTACTGAGGAGTCAGCTGCCTTGCCGGGGGTGTAGAGGTCTAGGCAGATTCAGGGGTTATCAGTGATTAAGTTGTGTGGCTTTAGGGTGGGTGCCATTTCCTCAGTTTCCCAAGAAACTGACTGGCACTCCTCCTCATGGGAGATCCACTAGCCCCACCCTTGGGGCTCCCAGCAGCCCCACCCACCTGAGTCCCAGTGGCTCCACCCTGCTGAGGGCAGGGCAAAACCCAGGATGGACTGAGCTGTGTGGTTCTTGGATAAGAGCCACACTCTTCACCTTCCACAAAGCCTGACCTGCACCTCCACCTCACAGGAGACCCACTAGCCCTACCCTCCCGACTCCTGGAGGCTGGCTCTGTTGAGCTCAGGTCCCTCCCAGCAGAACCTAGGAG